GATGTACAGCAGTGTGGAGTTTGCTGCTTTTTAAATAAGGTATGCCCAAGCTCTGAAAACAACTCTCTCTTCTACAATACTGTTATTTTTGCTTTGGTTTTATAGATTTATTTTTGGTACATGGTGTTGCAAATTGTTGCTGGTACTTTTCTATAATGTTGTTTAGAGAAGAGAGAGAGAGAGAGAGAGAGAGAGATAGAGAAAAAATAGATGCAGTGAGATTTGGTACAGTTAATTTTTTTGGGTATGTCTTCCCCAGTGTTTGCCATAGGAGCACTTGCTATAACAAAGTATACAATGTTGTTGCTGTAACTTGATGTGATGCTACTGTTGCTGCTGTTGCTGCTGTGTGAAGTATTGATTATTGATTGATTGATTATTGTAATGCATTTGTTAGCCCACCCACCCAAATTCCGATTGGGCTAACACACACACACACACACGTGTATGTGTATATATATACATACACAAATATAACGTTGTATACACACACATATACATATGTGTGTGTGTGTGTGTGTGTGTATCCAAATGACTAGTTTTTCACAAACTTCCAACAGTTATTGTGTTCACTATTTGGGTTCATTGTACAGTTTATCAACTGTTCCGTAGTGTTATTGTTGAATTTAAAATTAAATATCCATTAAATATGTCACATACTCATGGGTCGACGTTGACTGTGATAAAAAGGGGTCCCTTAAGAAAAACCACTGACACAGAGGACTGTAAATAATGATGGAGCTCTCACTCCATATAAAACAAGAATTAACTTTTGGGGTACATCATATGTTACAGCGCTGTTTGTGTAGCTTGTTCGCATTAGCAACGTTACATGTCCCTTACCTTCTGAAGACATTCAATCACTTTGCTCATGTAGTCCTTCTGACAGTCATATGGAGGAAAAGGGAAATTCACCGTCACTCCGTTCAGAGTTAGTGAAGACATCGTGTCTCCTCGCTTAAGTCAGCAGCGGCATAATCAACTTAGTGTTCTAAATGACGCACTTCCCGCCGGTTTAACTGATAAACGCTGTGAAACGTTGTTAAACGGGTAAACAGTCGACTGCTGTAGTTGTAGTGGCCATTAATTACTTCAGTCAGACCTTACTCAATTCTCTAATCGGGTCTGTAAAAGTGCTGGTACTTGGCGCCAGATTTCCGCTCATGCGCACTGTGACGACGTCCCTCTGCTGCGTTCAGGTGCTCAGAGAATATGAACACATTGAAGTGTTAATATCAGCGGGACTGTGGATGGTGACAGTTCGATCACTGGTTTCCAACATTGTTCCTTAAGGGACTCCTTTTTGTATGGATATTTTAGATTATACTTAATGCATAACAGTAACAGTAGAGAACAACTGATAAACTGTACAATGAATCCAAATAGTGAGCATTAATTGCAGGAAGATTGTGAAAAATGAAGAAGAATTTTGAGCAGATTATTACAGAGATCATGATATTTTTTTAGACGTTTTTTTAATATAATGCTCAGTAACCTGTACTTTTTTTCATTTAAAAATCATACATACTTAATAGGTGTCCTATCAGACAAATTCTGTTTTCTTCTTGTTGTTCTATGAGCTCTTTGGATATTTAAACTGCACACTTTTCTAATGCAGGGTGAGGCTGTTTATCAGACTGAAGGCTCTGTGAATTTAACTTGTGTTCACATCTTCAAACTTTGGATCCAAAATTATAATGGAGGAAGACTAGAAAAGGCGCTATACAAATACAGGTCCATTTACCATTTACTATGTTGGGAACCACTGATTTACACAGTACATAAAGGACATGGTATATGTTATTCATTAGATTTTCCATTCATTTTTCATTATCATCATCATTGGAGGAAAGCTGCTATTCTGCATCACCTACCTACTTTTATTGCACTGGAACAGTGTTAATCATGTCTTCATAATAATAACAGGGTTTTTTAGTGGTTAATTATAATATATTACTTATTAAGGCATTTCAAAAAGCAACAGATGCAATTACTACAAGATGTCTTTAAAACATGGCGAGTACTGACAGGAACTAGGAAAAGAGATCACATCTCTCCTGTTCTAGCTTCTCTGCATTGGCTCCCTGTTAAATTTAGAATAGAATTTAAAATCCCCTCCTTCACCCTATAAAGCCTCATGGTCAGGCCCCTTCATATCTTGAAGAGCTCATAGTACCCTATACCCCTCTAGAACACTACGTTCTCTGAATGCAGGGCTACTGTGGTTCCGATAGTCTCTAAAAGTGAACAGGAGCCAGAGGCCTTCAGTTACCAAGCTCCTCTCCTGTGGAACAGCTTCCAGGTCGAGGTTTGGGAGCAGACACCCTCTCCACATTTAAGAGTAGGGCTTCAGACTTCTCTTTGATAAAAAGCTTATAGTTAGGCTGGAATCAGGTGAGTCCTGACCATCTCTTAGTTATGCTGCTATAGGCCTAGACTATCGGGGATTTCCCATGGTGCACTGAGCTCCTCTCTTCCTCTCTCTTTTGCACTCATTCATGTCCCATTAATGCATGTTACTAACTCATTCTTCCCCGGATTCTTGTGCTTATCGTCCTGCAGGTCTCATGGACCTGTGGAGCCTCCTGCCATGGTCCTGCTAGACTGCCATTGCTAATACACTGATATTATTGTTATTATTATTAGTTGTTGTTGAGTATGTTGTTCTGCGTTGCTGTGGCTGTCGCTGCTCGCTGTCCCTCCTGTCGTTGCGCTGTCGTCGTCGTCCACCGCTTTTTCATGATCGTCATCGATCATTACTGTTAATGTAGTTGTTGCTACTGTTGTTGCTGTACATCTGTTTGTCTCTCTGTCTCTCTCTGTCTCTCTCTCTCTCTCTTTCCTCCCCCAACTGGTCAAGGCAGATGACCACCCACCTAGAGCCGAAGGTCTGTCCGAGGTTTCTGCCTGTTAAAAGGCAGTTTTTCCTTGCCCCCGTCGCCAAGTGCTTGCTCATGGTGGTAACTGTTGGGTCTCTGTAAATGTTAAAAGGAGTTCAGTCCTAGACCTGCTCTATGAAAAGTGTCCTGAGATAACTTCTGTTTAGAATTGACGCGTAACAAATAAAAACTGAATTGAATTGAATTTAAAAGCTGTTCCAAAATTATCTTGGAAATGTGCCATGCACATTTGTTAAAATGAAAACATTGGGTAGATTTTTCACCACAGATTCAATTTCCCACTTGTGGATTTTAATCAGTGGGATCAAAAAGAATATTGACTGTTATTATTTGCAGGATTGGGCATCAAACCTCTTTTTTCTTTTGGTACTGACCACAATGTCAGCCGCCATTAAAAGGGTTCAATCATTGCAGATTTACCTTTAATTCATGATTCCGAAACATCCAAGCTGCTGTTTCAAAAAGTCATTGTCCACACATTATAATTACATCATTTATTCTATTATAGTGAAATACAATAACCATGAAATACAGTGAGTGGATGTTGGACATCCTATGCCTCTCCAGCTGTAGGCAGAACTATCTTGTTTGGGTCGAAGTAGTTCTCCTCTATGAGAGGAAGACCCTCTTTCTCTCTCTGCTCGATCAAACGCTCCGCCTCCCTTCTGGCCCACTGCCTCATGCTGAAACATACACACACAAAAGATAAAGCAAGAGAGAGACATATTTGAGACTAAAGATTAACAATAAATCCCAAACAACTTTGAAAACATTTCATTCTTCTGCTGAGACCTAATCTAATCTGTATGTTCAGAATCAGAATCAGAATCACTTTATTGGTATGTGCACATACAAGGAATCTGACTTCACGTTGCTCTCAATGTAAAAACACTGACTAGGCATAAATAAACAAGACCTAACAAAATAGACATAAACATGTACAGTTATAAATCAAACTCAATAAACAAACCAGAATGTGCTTTTGCAGTCAGTGTGGAGGGAACATCCATAATGCATCCATTATTTTTGCCACTTGAGGCTGAATTGTTTATTTATTCTGTGTTTAGAACGACAAGAATTGTGCTGTGTTATACTATACTAATCTTCTGACATATTTAGAATCATTACCGCTTCATATCATTCAACTGGTGTCTATTTCTTAAAATAATTTAATTAACATCACAAAAGTTCAACGACAAAAAACGACAAAACCACTGCTTTTGTCCACAGGGGAAGCCAGAATACAGGTACAGAGCCCCAAAGGCCCAAAAGATTTGATTTATTTTAATCTTGTGCCCTTAAAAAAGTTGGGATTCAAGGGGTTGACAGATGAGAACTGCAAAGTTCTGCAAGTGATAATTGTCCATGGGTTCACCACCACGAGTGACACGCTGATCCTTTGTTTAGATTGAATGTCTGTGTTGTTTAACTGTTATGCCCCTACAAGTGGATAACCTTGACTTGTAATCTGACTGATATTGTTTTTCTATTGTTAATCTTTGCCTCTGGTGAACTTCTTCCTCTGTGTTTAAAAAGCAGCTGAATGAGAAACTTGTTATTTATACAAACTGAACAGCTAAACTAATTTAACTCTGAAACATAAACTGCCTTTGATTTTGTTTAAACCATTTTAGAGATGGGTTGATTCAACTTTAGAGGCTGCTGGTGAATTGTATTACGTGTTTCTAATACTTAGTCTATCCTCATTGGTATAAATGGGGTGTGATGCAAAGCTTAGAGTAGAGGGCAACTGGCAACAGCCCAATTATCCCATACTGAAATGAGCTGAATACAACAGAATTTGGATGCTATTTCAATAATATTTCGATCAGTTGTGCAGCTCTACATGAGACTTTGCTCAGTGAAAGAAAACCATGGCTTAACAGAACTTTCACTAAGGGATGGGACAACATTTCTTGACAACCCTCATCTCCTACTTGACAGCAAAAATGCAAAAATGACTGCAGATATGAAAAGATGAAAAACTTAAAACTCACCCATGGTCGGGTAAATAGTGGATAAATGTTCCACCAATTACAAGAGCCACAGAGATGCCAAAGAAGAAGCCCACCCTCATGTTCCACTCATCCACCACAGGGTCGCTGGAGAAGCCATGGTAATCTGGATTCTGACAAAACACAAAGGGGGGCATATTATATGTGATCGGCATCCGAAACAGCGCAGACATTCAACTGGTTTTTACTGACGTGTTTTCAGTGTTCATTTTTTATTAATTATACCACCTTGGATCAGGACAGGACAGGAAGGTTGTTTTCAGGCTCAGACAACATAAACTATGACAACTGGGTTTGAAACAGCAACATTCATATTCAGACTCGCCTGACAGGCTAAGAAACTATGACACAAGACCATATTATATACACATTTTAATTCATCAATAATAACACCCACCTACACGTGATATTAGGCTGAACAAAGCCGTATCTTGGAGATCTAACAGCGAGTTTGTCAGTGCCCTGACAAAAACTACACTATAGTGACAAAGGAATATTCCAAACAAGTACTATAATTATTGTGCATCTCTAATATTTAGAGAAGGAGGCAAGAACATTTCCATATTCTCAGATATTTAATTTCTTTCTATGGAGCTGCTGTAACGTGGGATCAATAAAGTCTTACCTTATCTCGGCCAAAATACACATATATGTGTATATACATATATATATATATATATACACACACATATGTATATA